AGCTGCCCAGCTTTAATATTTATTGAGGTTTAATATTTAATATTTATTAGATAGAGTTATATCCAAGTGTGCCACAGTACATTACACACTCGGTACAGTCCCTCGATGTAATTCCTTTTCCAGTAGCATCTTATTCACAAGCACGTATTCAACACGTATTTCCTAAGTGATAAACTGGATGAGTGAAAACTCACAGGTGTGTTTTCAGTTCATCTGTAGGGTTTCCCACTGTGTACGTGTTAAAGGGCCCTAATCATTTAGACACTCTTTTGGTGTTTCTTTTCCCATACATGGGCTATTCTCCTAGTTTCACTGAACAGGCTTCAACTGGAGTTAGACTTCTTTTGTCCCTACTGGGACAGGTTTGCTTTGAACATGCTGTGTTACCAGTATATACCACATGTTCCAAGTTACCCTTTACAGTGGAAGAGTTAGCCTTCTCTACTGTGTCCTACTACTCTCTCTCCTTGTTTGAGCAGCCTGCTTCTGTGGAAACTACAATTCCTTAGTTATTGTCATCGTTGCTTCCGATGAGTCTTCCACAGTGTATTCTTTCTCTTTCTTGTATTGTAGGGGGTGAGGCAAACTTGCTGAGTAGGGTGGGAGGATGATCTGGCTCTCTTGACAACTTGTAGAAGAAACACTTCGTACTGACCCACCACTGGAGACCCACGGCACTTGCACGGAAGCAGCTACTCTCTGTCTTGGATCTTTGATTAATTGTGCCTCTTACAGTGTTTTACTCAGCGCTTATACCTGTAAAATTCAGTGGGATTTATTTCTAGCCTTTTCTCTAATTTGTCCACTTCATTTTGAGTGGCGCTCTCTTACTTCATAAATTATTTGACAGGCCTCACAAGCCAGCTTTGCAGGAATGAGTGAGCAGCATGGAAACTCCACTAACAGGGACTTTAGGGTATCAATCAGACAGCTTTGGACCTGGGACTTTGCACTGTCCCATCACCAAAATGCTCCTTACTGGATAGGTGTGGAGGTCTAGGCTTCACCAGCTACAATTGAAGAGTTTCAAATCAATTTTCCCTACTAGTTCCTCAGGTAGGGGAACCCCAGGCACCATGAATTGTTATACTTTGAGTCATAGGTAGAAGAACACAGAAACAGTGAAAGTAGAATGCTTCCTAGCACTAGTGAATAGAAGAATCCTTTACCATAGTGACTTTTCTGCTTAGACAAATATTTTTTTAATTTATTTCTTTTAATTCATGTGTATTGATGTTTTGCCTACATGTAGGAGGGTGTCAGATCTTGGAGTTATATAGATAGTTTTGACGTGCCATGTGGGTGCTAGGAATTAACCCAGACCCTTTAGAAGAAAAGCCAGTACCCTTAACTGCTGAGCCAGCTCTCCAGTCCCTAGACAAATGCTTTTACCCATAGTCCAGAGCTGAAGACACTGATGTGAAGGAAGTGCACACTCCAGCAATGTCCTGTTTGACAGAGAGGTAGACCCCACACAGAAAGCCAGAGCATCCTTTGGGGAGCTTGTGAACAGCACCGGTCTCTGTGTCAGGTTCTAGGCCAAGTGGGAGTCCTCAGCAATATGACTACTACAGCCTTGCTAAAGGAAGGTATCCACTGCTAGACTGTCGGGGGTCTGCGCCTCCTTCTCTGAAAGTGTGTGTGTGTGTGTGTGTGTGTGTGAGTGAGAGAGAGAGAGAGAGAGAGAGAGAGAGAGAGAGAGAGAGAGAGAGAGAGAGGGGGAGTTTTATCCAGTTTTCAAAAGGATCCAGAGTCATGTGTGGCTAAGATCTCTTCACTACATAGATAATCATCCAAACTTTTCAAGTGGGTAAAATGAGTTGGAAATCAACACACACACACATAGAAGAGAGTGAAATCTCTCACATGCTAGCTGTATGCCAGAGACTCCTGAGGTGCCTCCTTGAATCCTCAGGAGAACCCCAAAAGTACAAGGAGGAAGGATGCTGACCAAGTGTTGTGCACCTCAGTGCCTTGGGAATAAAAGTGAATACCACTGAAAACTAACAAAAGACCAGTGATCTAAACCAATGGGAACATGATTTCACATTGTAAAATGTGATTTTTCTGTACAATTAGGAAGTTATCTGGGGAATAAAGTTGGGTGATTTAAACCAGATGGGTTCTGAAGATGTGGGATGCGTCAGGGTGTGGCTTTGAAAAGGGATGGTTGTTCCTGAAGCTGAGCATCGCAGGGAACAAAGATGGAAATGGAACAGCTGGGAGGCCCTACTTGCTGTTCAGTCTCCTGCATGAGATCATGTGTTTATGGCCTCAAAGACTGAGTTGAACTAATTTAATTCCTATTTGGCATCTCTGTACTAATTAATGACAGTTGTTTCATTTGTACGTATTATATTAAATTAGGTGAATTCTTCATCTTTGTTTGGACTAGAGTATTAATCCTTTTTTTGTGCAAGGTTTCCTAACAGAGCTGAGGAAACATTCCTGACCACATAGCTGAAAGCCTTACCAACACCCCCACTACACTCTGGGTACTGCTTTCTTTATAACATTAAACCCTAAAGAGTAGCTTGATCATCTTTTTCTGGAAAATGTTAGCTGAGAATATTCAGGGAACCAAAGTAGATGCTTGTAAGTTTCTAGAGTTCTCTGCATTTCTTTCTGCCAGGATGTCTTACCTAAAACAATGTGGTCATCTGTTTGGAGAGCTCCAGGGAGAAGGAGCAGGATTAATTCCTGTCCCTGTGTGCAGTGTAAACAGCTTTTTGCCTGTCTTTTGTCATTAATGATCATGCTGTGGATGTAGCCAGTGCATTGTAAGCCAATCTGTCAAGGCAAATAAACAATTCACCTTGTTAAAATTCCCTAAATCTTGCATTAATAAAACCGAAGGAGCCCCCTGAACACTCAGGAGATGTCTTCCTCCATAGTGCAGTGATGGATGACATGTCTAAAGAGCCTGGAAATTAAGTAGTTTGGGTCATTAAAAGTATCCCACGCTTCTTATTGATTTAATTTATTTTTAAAAGGTAGGGGTGGAGATAAGAATGTTGCACCCTCCCCTACTTTTTTATTTTTTAAGTCTGAAGGCTACCACCTATACAAGTAGTTAAAATAATTTCTGGGGCAAATTGTTCCATATTCATCACAATAAAATTAAGTTGTATTATTCAAATGAGTATTATGCTGTCCTGTTAAGGAGACATCTAGAAATATCTCAGTAGTCCTTGCAGCCTTTGCCAGGGCAAAAACTTGTAGAACTTCTTGGACTACCGAAGCAATGATCTCTAGATATTCAAAAATTCTGTTAAATGGGTAGGATTTGAATAAATGTCAAACAATTTGAAAGAAATGACTGGAATGTAGGAGATTATGTCTGTGGGCAGAGAGCCTCTTTTGTCCTTTGCTTTCTCTAGTTTTTGTTTTTCTGCTTGCATAATTAGGAAAAGAATCTGATATCTGAGATGAAGGAGGGGTGTGCATGTGGATGGATCAATGGAGGGGAAAGCATTCGGAGAGCGGTGTGTAGGATCTTAACTGTCACTCTAGGTTGTTTGAGTTGTTCATGTGCTTATTTCTTTATCCTGCACTCCATTTAGCCCACTCTATTTACTGTCATATCCCAGAACCTGATATAACAAGTACGCAGTCAGTTTTATTTAATGAGCAGAGTAGAATTCCTCATCACTTTTCTATCTTCTCTTTCTGGGATAGTGGGCTCTGTGAGGGATGGTGACAGCCCAGATACCCTAACTTTCCAGACAGGCTACCTCTGGCATTTGAATAGCAGGAGAATTGGGTGTTGCAATACATAAGCAGGGAGGACAGCCTGTGTGGCCCTACTCTGTGTATGTGATCTGAAATGGGCAGTAGGGTTCCACATCTGTGAGGAATGACGCAACTCAGTATGGAAATGGTGGTATGCATAGGGTGCACAGACACACTTATAATTTGACCCAATTTTTTATTTAGTCTATGTCTTCTGCATCGGTTAAATGGCTGTTCCTAAGGTGCTGTCAAATAATATTTCACTAATTTCAAGTATTCTTCAGATAGCATGTATTATTATTGGGAAAATTTCCCATGGTATGTTATTTAAGTAGACCTTAAGAATAGTTCTGTTACAAAGTATGGCCACTCCGAACTGTAATCCCAACACTGAGGAGACCAAGAGGACAGGTGTGAATACAGGGCCAGCCTGGGCTAGATTGTAGACCTGTCTTTCAAAAGACAAGCAAAAGAACAGTTACATCATTTTTGGTGTTTCTCCCTCACTCTTTAGTGGAGACGGGACTGGGTATCAAGCGTGTAATCTGTTAACACACGTTTGCAGATTCTTTTAAAAATGCATAACTATGAAAAATCACTCCATAGCATCCATCAGATTTCTCCTCCATGTTGCATAATTTTGATCTCGGCATGCTGACATGTTTATGCCATTATGCCAGCTCTTTAGCAGAGCTATTTAAGTGGAAGAACTTTATAGATTTTTTTTCAATATATACCCTGATTTACACTTAGCGGTAAAGTTGTCACTGACCCTTTAAGTGGAGCTGCCCAGATGGCAATAAATGTCAACTGATCCTTGTGCAGAAACAGGTGATAACTAAGGGGTTAGACTAAATCTTCCAGATGGAAAACCTGCAGTATTTCCTAGGAGTAGTGGCCTGCTATGGAAACGTAAATACTTTATTACTCAACAAGGAACATTTGATTTGTGTATCCGATGTGCGGATCAGTCTCTGTGAAGGCAGGGAGCGTGTCCAGTGCTTCCCCAGTGTCTTCCCCGTTAGTGAGTATCTGAAGGTAGGAGACATTTCTGTAAATGTACTGTGAAGGAGTGGATAAAGAACAGGGCGTGCTCATGCTGTATAGTATGCATCAGCCTGCCTCTACTCCTCATATCAATTATGAGGAATGTTGCTGGTGATGTGATGACTTTGATGGACAGTTATGACTTTTTGATAGAGTTCCTTTGATTGATGGTATAACAGACTTCCCTCCCATCTCTAATTTTGTTCTCTGCTTTCACACAGGCCGTCATTTTGGAAAATGAAGAACTTCCCAAGCTCTTCCTTGATTTCCTCAATGTAAGACACTTGCCCTCCTTACCAAAGGCAGAAAGTTGTGGGTAACAACTGCTATTTACATTGTGGGTGTGTATTTTAAGTTACAATCACCCCAGAGTGGTGCCACATGGCAAGCTAGCCACATCTAAGCTCTTAGTTGAGGCATATCTCTCTCTCTCTCTCTCTCTCTCTCTCTCTCTCTCTCCTCTTCCTTTTTGCCTCCTTCCTTTCCCTTTCCTATCCTTTGCCATTTTTTATAGTGAGAGGAATCCCTCCCAAGTCTTTGCCTCTGTCCTGCAACAAATGGTCCAGGCAAACCCATGCCTAGACATAAGGAACTAACCTTTTAAATGACGGTGTCACATAGTGTCTCGGGTGGTAATTATGAATCCAGAGTGTAATCAAGGTCAGTCCCTTGACTTGTGCCAAGTATACATATTCATATAGCTTTTTAAAGGTATACTTCTATTTATGTGTATGTTTGTGTCTGTGTATGCCATGTATGTGGAAGGGGGTACCTATAGAATCTAGAAGAGGACATCAGATCCACCAGAACTGGAGTTACAGACAGTTGTGTGTTGTCTGACATGGCGCTGAGATCCAAACTTAGATGCTCTGGAAGAACAGCAAGTGTTCTTAACCATTCAACCATCTCTCCAGTCTCTAAAGCTATAGATGACTTTAGAGATCATTGATCCAACACCCCTCATTTGGTTGTTGGTCAGAGACCCACAAAGTGCCTTTCCTAAGCCATGCAAGTGGCAGAACCCAGGCCTTCCATGGAGGGTTGCTTTCTTTGACCACTGCTTCTCCCTCAGGAACTCATAACTGATGGGCTGTAGTCTCTAGTCCCTATTAACCATGAAACTAGAGGTACAACATACTGGCAGCTGGAGAACGTTCTTCTAAAGTCTGAAATCTACAGCAAGCTGGGTTGAACTAGTCTCTGAAAGCAGTTAGCAGCACCCCTGCACAGTCAGTCAATCCCCAGAGACTTAAGGCAACACAAATCTAGCAGGGCACAGGGCTTTGCCATACTTTCCCTCATCTTCCAGCCTATTCCTCAGACTGGGTTAAACCTGAGCTGTCTACGGAATGCAGGGCAGTAGATACCTTTCACCGCTCCTTATCAGTGTTATTGACTCAAGGCCACTTGCTACTCACTCCAGAGCCTGAATTACATTCCATACTCACCAATGATCTATGAGGCCAGTGTGTTCTGTCCTGTGTATTCGTGTTTCCTGGGAAGGCAGGTTCATAGATGCTCTTGAATTTTACACAGCAACATTAACAAATTTCAGTGAATGAGGTCTTCTTACTTTTATTCTAACTCCAAAACAGTAATAAGATGTAGATGGAAGTTTCTGTCCCACCTGTTCCCATAGCCATTTAGTCCCAGATAAGCATACAAAGGCTTATATTAATTATAAACTGTTTGGCCTATTGCTTAGGCTTATTACTAACAAACTTTTACAACTTAAATTAACCACAATCCTTATCTATGTTTAGCCATGTGGCTTGTTACCTTTACTCAGTGAGTCATTCTCATCTTGCTTCCTCTGCATCTGGCTGGCAACTCACGCTCTGCCTTCCTCTTCTCAGAATTCTCCTAGTCTGGTAGCCCCACCTATACTTCCTGCCTGGCTACTGGCCAATCAGCATTTTATTAAACCAATATGAGTGACAAATCTTTACAGTATACAAGAGCATTATCCCGTAACAATAAGGCCATGGGATTTTTAAATGATCTTAAGGAAAATTGAAATGCCCAGAGTCTTCCAGGCTGAAGATTTCTTAGAATGACTTGTCAGCCATGCTGTGGCTCAGTACAAACTCAAGTTTTCTGTTTGTTTCCCAATCCAGTGCTAAGGATACTAACGTTTTGCTTTGCTGACATAAATATTGGCCCAACTTAATTAGTTTTTTCTTTTCTTTTATTAAAAATTTCAGATCTTTTGATGAGACAGAATCTGAAGAGTCAAGGTAAGAACTAACACCAGTCAATGAGCAGTTTCAGAAATCAATACTAGAACTGTAGTTTGTTTAATGTCTAACTACCCATGGTATACCTGTTTAAAGTCATGTTTCTCCTGAAAACCTTTGCTGGATATTGGTTTTATGATGATAAATATTTGACAGGAATTTCCAGGGTTAATTGCTTATAATTGGGAATGAAAAGGGTTAAGAGCCCCATTTGGCTTCATGCAAGTAATAAGAATACGGCTTTGCTTACGATCAAATTGCAATTTCAGAATGTACTTTCCAGCAGTGATATTTACAGCATAGATGAGTGTCTGTCTCATATCCCAGAGAGAAATATCTGGAAGGCAAGTGCAGCACCCATGACTTCCCTCTGTGTGTTTGCTGATATCCCCCCACACTAGAAGATGCAGAGACCTGGAGACATCCCACACAGCAGTTTGATCCCCTCAAAGCTAGTTTGTAGTGTTTTCTGTTTACCATCGTCCCCTGCTGCTGACATGCCTGTTTTTGACCTTTCCAGCAAGCTGTCCCACCAGCCGGTGCTGCTGTTCCTCGGGGATCCATACGTCTTGCCTGCAGCCAGCGGTAATCAAACCTGTCATCTGCTAACAGCTCTTTACTGATCTGCCCCCGCACCACATAAACCACGTTTGTAATACGGGTCTAACAGAGTGACATCGGTCCAGGGCTTAATCATCTGCCAATAAACCAGTGCTCTTGGTGTAAGAGACATTTAGAATTTTAATTGGGGCCGGCCTTTCAGGAGGAAATGTAATTTTTCTTTCTCTCTTCCTAGCCTATTTTGAATTAGAGAAAGAAGGGATAAAGGTATTTATTTTTCTTCTCTTTTTTGTGATGTTTTTTAGACTGCTACTTGTTTTTAATCTAGATGTCAGAGTTCAGGCTGAAGGTTCTAGTCTTTCTTTTAAAATGTGTCCTTCCAAAAGCCGTGTGCATGCATTGCAAGTATTCTTGTGTGTCCATTTAGGTTTCTGTGTCTTTGATGATAGACTATATATTTTTAAGTTGTATATTTTAATTACAACTAATTGATTTAAGTGTAACCACAGTTAATATTTTAGCCTGCATCCTTTTTTTGGTTCCAGTTCCCTAGAGTCCCTCTCAAATTGTTCTCCTATTCGGCGATCCCAGAGAACATTCTCAGACATCATCTCATTTAATTTGTAAACGGCCTTATAAAACAGTCTCAGCAAGTAATATCATTGGCTAAAGGGCAAAATTCCGACTTAAAAATATTGGTGACTTGCAGGCTCAGGTGTCCCATTTGAGGCCCAGGTTTCCTTCTTTGCTTTCAGGGTATCGGGTCTCCAACCTCTCAAGCCACAGGAAAGCATAGATGAAGGATCCATTGTTTCTGTCAACAAAAACCTTACAAGCTGGAGAGAGGGGACTGCTGTCTGTAGCATGGGGCTTGTCTTCAGATCACCCACTTATCTATTAGTAAAGGAAAGGTGACCAGGATGCAGATATCGCTCACTAAGACACTCCTCTGACTCTGCTCAGAGAGTTGCCTCAGCTGTAAAGAATATGGTTTCACCATAGCTTTTTGTGTGCATCTTCTCAGTGAGGAGCTGTTACCCCTCTTAAGGACTGTTTCCTGTATTTAACATATTTATATTAATTATTAGGTGTGTAGTAGCTGATGTTGTATTAAAATCTTCTGTTTAGCAAATAGAGTAAACCTAGTCTAAATTAAATGTCATATTGTCTTTTTAAAATGGGTCCATAGGAAATTGTCCTGGAATTGTCTCTATTCAGATATTTCATGCACTTGCCAGATAGTTCCAGAAACAGTGGGGGAACAGAATGATACTAGCCAGGAACAGCCAGGGGCTTGGTGGAAGTGTGTTTGTGGGGGTGTGCATCTTGTGATCCATACATTCGGTTCTTTAAGCTTATTAAGTAGCACATAGTATACACTTGAAAGTCGAGACCAGAGGAGCCTTCTGAGAGGCAGCATCAGGACAGATGTGGGAAGCAGGAAGATTAAGGTGTGTGTATTGTTGGTCACTTGATAGTGTGGACCAAAATAAGGGAAAGCCTGTTTGAGAGTAACTGAATTAATGGGTTTGGTGGAAAACCCTCATGGTATATTCTTAGACTTTTGGCAGACCCAGTTGTAGAAATCAGACTCCTTTGGTCTTAGTGAAACATTATCTGTACCACACTGTATTCTTAAGATGACTTTTAGTAAGTGGAAGTCATTATTTCTGAAGATACTGAATGTAGAATTCTGGAGGTTTACCAACCCCCATTTAAGTCTACTGCCTTTACATTTCAGACATTCTACCCTAAATATCTCTTTATAAAATAATAATGACTTCATTGGTAAAAAGGTTGCCACTGGAGGATAAAAGTTTCAGAGTTCTACCCACAGAACCAAAAAAAAAAAAAAAAAAAAAAAAGCCAGACATGATGGTGCATTTGTAAGCCAGCACTTTAGAGGCATACAGGAGGATCCCTAGAGCTCACTGGCTCACTAGCCTAACTGATCAGTGTGCTCTCCATCACCGGGCCCCTGCCACAAAAAGCAAGGTGGACAACTCCTGAGAATAACACTGGACTTCTACCTTCCATATGCATGCACACATATGCACGTACTTGGACGTACACACACACAGGAAAAAAAAAGAGCAGGCTGATCTTTATCTTCTTAGCTTTTGACATAAAAGTCAAGAGAATACCCTGGGTTTTAAAGATTGGTTTATTTTATGTGTCTGAGTGCCTTGCTGCATATATGTATATGCACCATCTGTGGGCCTGTAGAGGCCCCTGAAACAGTTGTAGATGGTAGATGTTTGTGTGAGCCCCATGGGGGTGCTAGGAACCAAACCTCTGCAAGAGCAACCATGCTCTTAACCAATGAGTCATCTCTGGCCTCCAGAGAGAACGCTCTTGACAGCCTCAAAAGCATGTTTTGACCGTTGTCTTAAATTTTCTGGGAAATGCAAAACAACCCTTTCCAAGGACCCAGGAATCCTCAACATGGCTGAACATTCTGGACAAGTCTCTCCTTTGTCTTACTTGCCCTTTCATCAGCTTTAGATGTGCTGGCCACATCCTCTCCTTTCAAATGCTGTCTCACCCTTGCCTTTCCCATCAAAGGCTGGACCCTGCTCACTGAGCTTTTCTTGAAATAATCCACTGCTCCTGGCCTTCAACTACCCCATCTGTGCAATTGAGAGGCAGAATTGTGTTTCCAAGGCAGACACTTGCTGTGGTTCACAAGAACTCTGTAGTCTACTCAGGTTATCTCTCCTTGAGTACTCTACTTGGTGCCAGATACTCTGCAGTTCATTCCAGGCCTCAAGTGCACCTGCCCTGCCAACCCTACCCTCAGGGCACCTACCCTGCCCATCCTACTGACCCTGCCAACCCTATCCCCTGGGCACCTGCCCTGCCCATCCTACTGACCCTGCCAACCCTACCCCCAGGGCACCTGCTGCTTCCCCCTTGAATCTCCTGGTCAGCATGCTTGGTGGTCCTGTCAGCTCCCAGGCCTCGTGTTAGTTGTCACAGTTTTGAAGCCTTTACTTCCTTGCTCTTTGAATCAGCCTCTATACAGCTTTGTTCTGTTGTTGTTGCTAAAGGTGAATGTTCTTTAGATAGAGGAATGCCATTAAATATAACAAGAAATGTATCCCAAGTTGTGTTCTTTACCCTCCTCCCAGTGGTAGACAAAGGAAGGAATAGTACGTCACGCAGGAATGGACATTGTATTCAATCATAGTCATGGGGAAGTCTGAATCTACAGTTGAAAGTGCAGTGGAACAAGTGAGTGGGGACAGGAGTAAAACCTGTTATCCCACCAGTGACCATTAGGTTGACAAACCCTGCAGTCTATGCACTTTTTCTCAGAGCACCCTGCTGGCTTCCTTCAGTAGAAATAGCTGTAGACTGTCCTCCGGAGGACCTCCCCACTAACTTCTCCCTGTGCAGGGAGCAGGTTTTTCTGGACACTATCATAACTGCCTCCTGTGGTACCTCACTCAGTCCACTCAAGCAGCCCTTTCACGCTGAGCCTTCTTTCCCTTTCCTGTCCCCTGTACTGTAACCTGTGCCCTGCTTTGTGTCCTTGCTTCTAAGCCTCTGTCTGACATACTTATCATGGTATAGAATTATTCATCAGACATAATGGGGTTTTCATTGTTGTTTTATGGGACTTCATTGAATCCACTTAAGTTAAATATGTTCACAGTATAAATTAACTGTATTTAAGTAGATTTTCAGATCTCAGATGACAAAGGATAACAATATTCCACCTGTGTGAAATATGCTTGGATATTTTATTGAAAATTAGTCAGTGGTTCAATTTATTAATATTTGTATGAGAAATAAATTTAAAGTTAGATTTAGCTAGACCATTTCTTCAAATATGCAGATATATTTAAAAGCCTACTGAAGACTTTTAAAGCTCTGACCTGTGAAAATGTGTGTGTGTGTGTGTGTGTGTGTGTGTGTGTGTGTGTGTGTGTGTGTAATGCAGATACATACACTCAGCCAGTGTCATCAGCCAGAGAGAACTCACTATTTGTGTATAGAAATATTTGTTTAAACATTTTATTTGTATCATTTGCTTGCTAGCACCTGTTCCATGGCCTGAACAGAGACTGTAATTTATGTTTCCAGTAACTAGATGGTTATATGGCATTCGGTAATGGCCAAGTATTTACTGTGTGCCAGGCCCAGCCCATGAACTTGGTTTCACTTGCCAACTTTTCAGTAACCTGTGGGAAGTTATTGGGGTGAAATCCACTTCACCACTGTTAAAACAACTCAGCTGTATCATCAAGCTGGAAAGTGACTCTTGCAGGATGCAGAACCATTTCAATGAACATTTGCTGAGGTAAATCAGCCAGTGTATCCTTGACTAGGCTCAAAGGTGCCTCAAACGAAACAGGGCCCAAACTGAAGTGATTGACTTCTAGTTCACTCTCTTTCCTCAGCTTCTCCCACAACCCTCTGGCTTAGTCAGACAGAAACCCAATAAGCTCCTGTGGTGACTTCAGGTAGTATTAATTATTTCCTTCTCCTGCTGACCCCTCTCTCCTCCTCCGTCTTCTTTCTCCTTTCTTCTAGCCTTTCTGTGAGACAGAGTCTCACTATATAACCCAGGTTGTCCTTGAATTTGAAGTCCTGCCTCAGCTTTCATTTCCTAGGATTACAAGCACATACCACCCCATCCAACTTAATCCTTGACTTCTCCCCTTTATCTGCCAGTCACTTGTATCTGTCACCAGGTCACATCCTTCATTTCTCTAGAATACTTCAACTTTTCTGTGTCCTGCATCAGGACCTCCCTCTGAACTGTAGCAGTAACCAAAGCAACCTGTGTCCACTTCTGCATGGCAGTCGTCTCTTCAAAGTTTCATGTCTTGCTTCAACGTAAAATCCCTAAACACCCTCAGTACATTTCTTACAAAGCCTAAGTTCCCATGAGATCCTCACAGATCTGACCTGGTACCTCTGGCCTCCAGAGCACAGGTCTCCTCGCTGCATCACCTCCACTGATGACTCTGAACCCTCTAGGCTCCCTTGCTATAGACTGTACTGTCACCCCCTATTCCCCTAGGGCCTTTCCACCTTCTCGGATGAAGCCCAATTCCCTTGTACATGACTTTCCATGGTAACCACTCTGTAGAGAATGGATTATGAACAAAAGTTTTAAGGAATCAGTCCATTTGCATAGTAACTCTATTCAGAGTCATCAGCCTTCACCTAGGTCCTGACGTAATTATGTACAGATGGAAGCTTCACCCTGAATGCCTGAGCCATGGGAAGATTGATCCCCCCTGCACAGTCTCCTATACCTTACCTGCTCTCAAACCAGAAACTGACTCAACATGCTGTGTATACCTCTGCATTCCCTTTGTGCCTTCTACAAGAGTGAGGCTGGCTTTTCAAGCTTGACAGGATGGCTTTTGTTAGAATTTTGCCCTTTGGAGCTAAAAGACTGATCCCATCTTTCTCCCTTCCAGAAGCACGCCCACAACAAGCCCACACATGACAACTTGGACTAAGTGGCTCCCTAAGCCTCAGTGGGAAAACCATAGTCAAGTATTCCCAATAGAAATCTTGGAATTCCTTCAAATGTATTGAGATTTTGTTAGAAATTGAATTGCCAGCGTAATCCATCTTCCTTGTGAGGAAACATCCAGATAAAGAGCCAGGGCCTAGCGGCATTAACCATTAGAAGAGCAGCCCCTGAATCAATAACACTACAAATCTGGCCATGCAATCCTGCAGCGCCTGCTGGGATCCAAAATGGCCTCTGGCTGACAAGCACAAATGGTAGCACTCCTTGCCTGTGGGTGAATATGTCCAAGTAGTAGCCCTGATGTCTGACACCATGGCCTTGATCTCTGATCTTCTTTCTTGACCAAGGGCGAATGGCTCGGTCATGTGGATTCCAGAGAGACGTGGTGGCTCCCACCCTTTGTCCATAGACACAATTATATGTTGTTGTTGCACATTAAGAAAAGCAGCTTTCCTTTTCTTTTTCAGATTTTCCAAATGTGGTCATCGAAGGAGTTCTTCATGGAATATTTTACTCTCACCTGCAGCCCAGGTAGAAACCCTACCTGGCCAGATGAAGCTGAAGCGAGTTTCAGTGTCAATGGCAAGAAAATTGATAGCTCTACCAACTTACCTGAAACTCCATGACACCATAGCTCTAGCTAGAGGGAAAATTCACAGTCCTAGCTTCCTTCAGAACAGGGACGTTTCTATTAGAATGGTGCTTTTAAAATTAGAAACTGAACCAGGGCAACGTCAGTTAAAGGCCAATTGTTTGAGTAAAATCGAGATTCTAACATGGGAAGTCAGGACTAGGAGGCCACAGTGGAGCATTGAGAGTACCCAGTGTCAAGGGAGCCAGCCTCTGCTTCAGCTGCACCATTTGCTAATTGGAAATCAGACCCTGAGTCATGCTGACACTGAACAACTCTGGTGGCCTTTTTTTCAGACCTTGACAATACTCATCTTTACGCCGTGAGGTTTTTTTTCTCAGAGAGGGATACTGTATTCAGGGGTGCTGGCAGCAGAAGAGAGTCCTGGGACCCAGTGTACTAAGTGTGAGGAAAAAGCCACACTGGAAATTGAGTTGTACTGATAATAGAATGCATTGAAGAATAGAATACATTTAGTTTCCATTACAGTGGAGTTGCCTCCCACCTGCAGGTTGGCCTCCAGCATCAGTGCTTGAGGTGAAATGGGGTGTTGGCACTATCTGTGAGAGTCCCCTAGAAAGACACTATGTGGGAAGTCTGGCCTCCCATTTTTAACTTTAGTGTTGGAAAGTATGAGTGCTCATCTGAAGACCAGCTGACACCCCTGATGAAGCCCCAGGGCCATTTCCTATAGAAAGTACACACTTTGAACACTAGAATCACACTGCAAAGTTCTTGTTCCAGTGGGAGTCAGATGTGAGTTGACAGTGGTTGCAACAGGAGCAAATGGACTGTTTGTAACTGGGTTTCCTCCACGGTGTACATTATCAGGATATTACCACAGGCTTTTATGTGGTTGTTCTTATAGGTTCCTTTTCACTGATACCATGTATGGATTAATGTGAGTTTGGTGTTTGATGCTGTCTCTCCACTGGATGTCACACAGATGGTCATCTTTTGCTCAGTGACAGAGCCCAGCGTATGTCCTACCTGTGTGTATGTGCTGATGAACAACCTACTTGTGGTTATAGATTTTCATACATTTAAATGTTGGAGAAAATATTGACAATTGAAAGTACCATGTCATGAATTTTTATTAGAGTCCAAACCTACAGATTGAAACCCTGCTGCAAACTTTTAAGATACGTTTTATGATTGATTGTGTAATTATGTGTTAGGAATAAAGTAATCAAGTGTTATCAGCGAAAAAAATAACTAAATGGTGAAGTATTAGAGATACTTTTTTTAAGGTTTTTTGTTACTAGCTATTTTGAGTTAAATAAAAACAAATAAAAGTATTTGAATTTGTGGTTTTCCCAGAATTAGTGGAGGCGTAGATTGCGTCTCTTTCTACATATGCACAGAACACAAATACAACCATTCTCACATTTCACTAGACATGTAACTCTTTTCTAGTGGGGTAGTAAATTACTTCATCTGTTATTAAGCTAATTGTTACTCATTATATACTTCATGATTTACCAAATTAATTTTTTAAGTAAATAAAGACCAAACATATGGTGGTATGTTACTCAAGAAATCTTTTAGTTGATATTGGTAGCTCTGTGAGGCAGAGGTAGGAGGATCACTGTAAGTTTGAAGCCAACCTGGTTTAGATAGCAAGGTTCAGGCCAGCCAGAAATACATAGTAAGACCTTGTCTCAAAACCAAGACAACTTAAATCATTCTTTTTTTAAATTAAATCACATCTTAGTAATGACCTTTTTAAATACATTTAAAAATTTTGTAGATGGACCAGAGAGAGGAGGGCACAATGGTTAAAAACAACTGAAGAGCACTGGCTGCTCTTCCAGAGGTCCTGAGTTCAATTCCCAGCACCCACGTAGTGGCTCACAGGCTTCTGAACCATCTATTCTGTACTCACACGAGTTCTGATGCTCTCTTCCGGTATTCCGGTATGGATACATGAAGACAAAACATCCATATACATAAATAAATCTTCAATATATAATCTTATCACTTGGGCTTCTTGCAGAAACTATAAACTACTGTAGGTCTTTTGAGCATAAAGAGTTGTATATCTGAAGTTGAGAAGACCTGAGTTCATTTCCCAGCACCCACCTCAAAGGCCTGACAACACACTTCTATAATCCCGACCCTGGTGAGGTGGAGACAGAAGGATCCATGGGCCTCTCTGGCCAGCCAGTCTAGTTGACTTGGTAACTTCCACCATCATTGAAAGACCTTGTTTCAAAAAAAAAGTGAGAGCCATTGAGGAAGACACCCAGTGCCAACCTTTGGCCACCACATGTATACACATATACACATACACACATCAAAATTCAAAACCAAACAAACCCATGATTTGCCAGCCAGAGCAGTAGGAAGTTGGCATTTACCCCAAAACCCCCAACATTTGCCCACTCCATTGCCCATCAACATATGGCAGTGTAATATATTCCCCACTATAATGGAATCTGGGAAGAAACTGGTAGCCTTTTGATCAACATAGCTCAGGAAACACTGGGAAGATGATGGTGTATATTACTATGGTTAGAAATGTTATTAAAAAGAGAATATATAAAGAAACCCTCCTCTCATTTCATCTCTTGAATACCCTGGTCCCCTCCTATAAGCAGCATGGTACTTAGTTTTTCTGTATAGTACTTTGGGAGAGAATTCCTATATAGGCAAGAATATATTGTCCATCTACTGTTTGTTTTGATTTGATCTTTTAGATTATGTGTATGAATATGTTGTCTGTATGTATATACAGCACATACATACTTGCCTGGGGCCCACAGAGACCAGGAGAGTGTCAGATTACAGGTGGTTGTGAGCAACCATGTGGGTGTCAGGAACTGAACCCAGGTCCTCTCCAACAGCAACAGTATTTTTTGCTCCTAAGCAATCTCCCCAGCCCCATCATCTAATATTGATACTTCCTGTTTCCCCCCTTTTTTAAAACATGATAACCTCCAATACTCATCTTTTATACATATTTTCATATAATGACGCATCTTGACAGCCTATGTTAGTATACAAAGTATGTTTCTTTTCTATTTACAATTGTATACTTCTACTACAGTTTATGCAATATGGTATTTGTGATGATGTTGACATTTTTCTACTATAAAAACACCACAGACAACTTTGTATGCACATATATATACACATTAATTTTATAATAATTTTCAAAAGCTTATGGTCACAGCAAAACTTTCATATAGAAACCCATGGGTAGATGCACACATTTTATTATTGGATTCTGCTGGGCATGTGTAAATATACTTCACTCGGGTTCCCTTGTACATGGTTGTGTTGTTATGCAGGTTGTGTACTGTACAAGACCACACCATGCCATATTCAAGCTGCACAATGTGAATGATACATTGAGCCATGCCTGAGGCTCTGCACATGAAGAAGTAATAAAAAACTGATCCATTCAATGCATATATTCATGAGCAATAGAGAAGTAAAGGAGCAGATGACAGAAATAAGGAAAAGAAAAGTCCCATTGCCGCTTGATCCAGGATGTAGGGTAGCGCTCCTGCCCCATCCACACAGCTGTTTGACATTCTGCCCACCTGTCCCCTGGTGTTTGTTCTATGCAGAGCTGCTCTCCTACCTCACCTCTCCTCTGTTCATTTGCATACTGGCTTCCCTGGCCCTGCTGTCCTTTCTTTTGGTGTCACTTCTCCTTGTTGCCCTTCAAAAGTCACCCATGTGTACAGTGCTTCGTGGCATCATGATCACTGCTGCCTTGCAAACCCTGCATTTAGAAGCTCACTTTGGAAAGTGTGGAAATCCCAGAGTCACAGGAGAAATAATCACACTTCAAAACTGACAAAGGGCTCTCGTCTTTCTGGTTAACTTTGATCAATGGACAGTGGCTGCTTAGCACTTTGTTGATTCTGGCAGAATTTCCATATGACTCAGTGATTCTGGAAATGAGGACCACAGCTGAAGATGGCATTTGGATATCTGTGTTCACAGAATTGTGTACAGAAGTAGGAATGACCTACGTGCCCATCAGTGGAGGAATGAGTGAAAAACAAGTGAATTCTGGTGTATGCTGTTGGATGAACCATGAAGACATAAGTTGAATAAGCCACTCATGAAAGAACAAATAATAGATGACTCCATTTGTATGTGGTATTTAGAGTAGTGAGATTCCCAGACACCAAAATATGGTGGTGGGTGTGCCAGCAGCTGCAAGAAGAGGACATGAGAAATTAGGGTTGCATGGGTTTCTTTGGAAAAGATGACAGTTCTGGAGATGGACAGTTGTACAGTGTGGATGTGCTCAACGTACACCACTAAAAATGATCCAAATGATTGTGTTCATTGTGTATCTTTCACTTCAGTGGGAAACAACCTGAAGAGGGTGATTGGGGCACCTGGAGCTCTGTGAGTAAGGACAGAGCACTCCATTGGTGCTCTCTGCCATGGCTGCAGGAATTGATAAACACACTGTTGCTGCTCTCACAGTTCTGGAAACTTCTAAAATTCAAACTGGATTCAAAATTCTTAGATTGTCAAGCAACAGAGGAGGGGCTACCTTAAATGCCCGCCCCTGATAGTGAAATTGATGACTAACTTATATGCCATCCTATAGCCTTGATCCAGCAGCTGGTAGAATAGAAGTAGAAGCAGACACCCACAGCTAAACCTTGAAATGAACTGGAATCCAGTTGCAGAGAAGGAGGACTGATGGACAAAGGGGTCCAGACCAGGCTGGTGAAATCCACAGGAACAGCTGACCTGAAAAAGGGAGAGCTGTTGGTCCTCAGAATGATAGCTGGGAAACCAGCATGGGACTGATCCAGACCCCCTGAGTGTGGGTGTCAGTGAGGAGACCTTGGAAATCTATGGGGCCCTTTGTAGTGGATCAGTACTTATCCCTTGCATAGGAATGGACTTTGGGAGCCCATCCCACATAGAGGGATACTCACTGAGCCTAGACACAATGGGGTGGCCTTAGGCCCTATCCCAAAGGATATGACAGACCCTGAATACCCCCTATGGAAGGCTTCACCCTCCCTGGGGAGCAGAAAGGGTATGGGATAGGTAGGGTTTTAGTTGGGGGGGGCAGAGGAGGAGTAGAGGGAGAGGAAACTGGGATTGACATGTAAAATAATCTTTCTAATTCAAATAAAAAATTAAAAAAATTCTTAGATTGTCAACTAGAACCAATTATGAACCACTTGGGATTCTGAGTCAGCCTGGACCATCCCACCTGAAGATTAGAACCACACAGCTGACTGACACACAACACTAGTAGGAACCACTGTAGCAGACTATGAATCACCTTTAACATCTCTTTAAAATACTTTTCATCTATTTGTTGACAATTTCATACATGTATGCAATGTATCATGAGTGTATATAACCCAAATCCCTCTTCCTCCTCTCCGACTGCCTCAATTCTCCCTACATTTGTGCTTTCTTTAATAGCCCACTGAGTCTAATTAATGCCACTTGAATGAATGTGTGTGAAGCTCTGCTGGTTGTTTTCTGACAGCTTAACACAAACTAGAGTCTCCTGGGAAGAGGGAGGGAGGGAGCTCACTTGAAGAATTGCTTCCATCAGATTGTGCTGTGGGGATGTCTTTGAACTATTTTCTCAATGAATGATTGGTGTGAGATGATCCAACCCACTGTGGGCAGTACCACACCTGGGTAGGTGATCTTGGATTGAGTGAGGAAGATAGTCGAGCGAGCCATGATGGGCAATCCAGTAAGCAGTGTTCTATGGTCTCTGCTTCACCTTCTGCTTTGCTTGAGTTCCTGCCTTGACCTGTGATAGATTGGGAATGGGATGCGTAAGCCAAACAAACTCTTCCCAAAGTTGCTTTTGGGAATGGTCTTTTTCACAGCAATAGAAAGGAAAGTAGGGCAGGGCCATTCACTGTACTACAAGCAATACAGCAGAGACCACACCTGCAAAGAAAAATAATTGCCACTTTCAGCAGCTGTCAGTTGCTGACTACTTCTCAGGTAGAGGTGGATACTCATGAGTCATTTTTCAGTCCATGCTGGAATGTAGACTGGCTCAATCTTATGTAGACTTTGTATAGGTGGTCATAGCTGCTGTAAATTCATATACATTCATGTAGTGACCCTGCCATATCCAGAAGACAGCATCTTACGTTCTTTCTGTCCTCTCTTTCATGATACTTGAGAGCTTTGGAGTGTAAAGGGTTAATATAAATGTTCCATTTATAGCTGAACACTCAATAGTCATTTATTCTCAGCACTTTGGCAAGTTATGAGTCTCTATGTTAACCACTGTCAACTGCAAACAGAAGTTTCTTTAACAAAGATTGAGAGCAGCATAAATTTATAGGTATAACCATAA